GCTCAGCCCAGCCTGTACACAACACTAGCCGTCTAACACTGACGGCGCTGACTGAGATAGATAACTACCATCCTTCGTAGAGCAATATCAAGCGGAGACGTTCAGTGACGATGGCGACGAGACGACAGTGACGACAAGACGAGTCCACTCCCAGCACCGGCAGCCCCGAGCTCCCCGCTCTCGGCTTTTTTTATGCTCCCAGCGTGGCCTGTCTCCGCCCCTGACCGCGCCTCCATTCTCGAACCCGCTAGCAGGTTCCAGGGGCCTCCAGCTGGGGTCCTCCGTGACCCTTGCCCCAGTTCCTCCTCTCTGCCAACACGCACCGTGCACACCCTCACCGGCGTGTGTGCTGTCTGTCCACCACAGTTGCCGCCACTGTCCACCAGGCGGCGCTATTACACTACACTTGCTTAACCCGTGCGAGGCTGATTTAGGCTCGTTAGTGACGAGACCGGGCCTGAGAGCTGCCCGCTGGAGTAAACGGTGGTGAGATGTTAACTACCTCGCCTGGTATGCGGGAGGTTGTGGGTTCGATCCTGACCCTGACGCCTGTATATTTGGAGTCTGTATGTCTCTCTCTCCGTGGTCACGTGGAATTTTTCTCCAGATCCTCCAGGTCTTCCCTCCACATTTAGAAACACGCATTGAGATGATTTAGATTATTTTGCTGCTGTAAATGTCCAAATGATGGGCCACTTTGTTGAGCTATCACTTGTGGCCAGGTCGCTTCTGAAAAATAAGTTAATAAATACCTCGTTGGCCTTTGACTGGTAGGATGGGGATGGTTTTGTTTTATTTGCATGTGTTTTGGTGATTTGTTCACTTTTATTGCCCTTTGCACTACTATATTTTAGCATTGTGTTTGTTGTTGTAACGTTCTTACCCGCCCCTATTGGACATCTGTGAAAACGAGCTTAATGGCTCATCGGATTTCTCCTGTGTAAATAAATATTCTTATTCTGAACGCTCGGTAATCAAACTGGATCCGTGGGCCAAGGTCATTGACCGTGTCTGTATGAACAACTTTCCACACCCAACCTGCACGCATGAGGGGGGGGCCTTTAACCCGTCTTCCTGTCCATGCTTTGTTTAATAATTGCACATCTCAGATGTTTTTTTGTTACTGGTGCGCCCCATTACTGACTTAAGTGTTAAGTCACTGTGGCGTTGTCTCCATGCAATCCACTTTTGCGGGGTCATCATCCGCTTGCTCGATTAAAATGTGTTTTTGGTTGTTTTTTTTAAAGTTTACTCTTTATTTTTTTCATTTTGCAGGTGAATATTTCGTAAGAGATTGTATTTTGAATGGAAACTTCCCATTTTGTTCTCATTGTGAAGACGGCTACTACATGGACATGCCCACCCAGGAACGTCAATGTAAAATGTGCAGCTCGTGTGGTGCCAGTAAGTTTTCATCGTTTCCCCCATAACTTTGACCACGGGTTCCACCGCACAACCGAACCGTGCTAAGTCAGCCCGACGCAGAAGCGCCCGGTTGTTTTTTTTCACTGCAAAAGTTGAGCTGTGCCACTGACGTCACGTGCATTGAAAGTGTAGAGATGCGTAAAGGTAAAGCCGCCGTGCCTTACACCATACGGACTGACGTCACAATGCGCTGGCCCCGCACTCAGCTCGGATGTGCCAGTGGAAAATTCGACACAAGGTCAGCCTTGTGTTGAATTTTATATGGGTTCTCTCAATTTGACTCATCTTGTACGAGTTCAGACGAATTGGCGTCACATTCCCCCGGTGTCTATATGACACTCCATCAGTGTCGTGCATCCAGAGTCGTATGTCCCTCTGCTGCGTATGCCACCAAAAATCACATCACCGCCATCAACGTTCCCCAGAAAGAGCTGGGGCAGCCTTGGGAAACACCACTGAGACCCAGGGCAGTTTTGGGGGGATTAGGGCCCATTCATTCAAGTAGTCCCAGGCCAGTTTTGGGGGGACGAGGGCCCATTCACCAGCGAATTCCAGGCAGCCTTGGGAAACACCAGTGAGACCCAGGGCAGTTTTGGGGGGATTAGGGCCCATTCACCAGTGCGTCCCAGGGCAGTTTTGGGGGACTAGGGCTCATTCACCAGTGAGGCCCACGGCAGTTTTGGGGGGACTAGGGCCCATTCACCAGTGAGTCCCAAGCAGTTTTGGGGGACTAGGGCTCATTCACCAGTGCGTCCCAGGGCAGTTTTGGGGACTAGGGCCCATTCACCAGTGAGTCCCAGGGCAGGTTGGGGGACTAGGGCCCATTCACCAGTGAGGCCCAGGGCAGTTTTGGGAGACTAGGGTCCATTCATCAGTGAGGCCCAGGGCCATTTTGGGGGACTAGAGCTCATTCACCAGTGAGGCCCACGGCAGTTTTGGGGGTACTAGGCCCATTCACCAGTGCGTCCCAGGGCAGTTTTGGGGACTAGGGCCCATTCACCAGTGCGTCCCAGGGCAGTTTTGGGGGACTAGGGCCCATTCACCAGTGAGGCCCAGGGCAGTTTTGGGGGACTAGGGCCCATTCACTAGCGAGTCCCAGGGCAGTTTTGGGGACTAGGGCCCATTCACCAGTGCGTCCCAGGGCAGTTTTGGGGGACTAGGGCCCATTCACCAGTGAGGCCCAGGGCAGTTTTGGGGGACTAGGGCCCATTCACTAGCGAGTCCCAGGGCAGTTTTGGGGACTAGGGCCCATTCACCAGTGAGTCCCAGGGCAGTTTTGGGGAATAGGGCGCATTCACCAGTGAGTCCCAGGACAATTTTGGGGAATAGGGCCCATTCACCAGTGAGTCCCAGGGCAGTTTTGGGGGACTAGGGTCCATTCATCAGTGAAGCCCAGGGCCATTTTGGGGGACTAGGGCCCATTCACCAGTGAGGCCCACGGCAGTTTTGGGGGACTAGGGCTCATTCACCAGTGAGGCCCACGGCAGTTTTGGGGGTACTAGGCCCATTCACCAGTGCGTCCCAGGGCAGTTTTGGGGACTAGGGCCCATTCACCAGTGAGTCCCAGGGCAGTTTTTGTGGGACTAGGGCCCATTCACCAGTGAGGCTCAGGGCAGTTTTGAGGACTAGGGCCCATTCACCAGTGAGGCCCAGGGCAGTTTTGGGGGACTAGGGTCCATTCATCAGTGAGGCCCAGGGCCATTTTGGGGGACTAGGGCCCATTCACTAGCGAGTCCCAGGGCAGTTTTGGGGACTAGGGCCCATTCACCAGTGAGGCCTAGGGCAGTTTTGGGGACTAGGGCCCATTCACCAGTGAGTCCCAGGTCAGTTTTGGGGACTAGGGCCCATTCACCAGTGAATCCCAGGGCAGTTTTGGGGAATAGGGCGCATTCACTAGCGAGTCCCAGGACAGTTTTGGGGACTAGGGCCCATTCACCAGTGAGTCCCAGGGCAGTTTTGGGGAATAGGGTTCATTCACTAGTGAGTCCCAGGGCAGTTTTGGGGACTAGGGCCCATTCACTAGCGAGTCCCAGGGCAGTTTTGGGGAATAGGGCCCCTTCACCAGTGAGTCCCAGGGCAGTTTTGGGGAATAGGGCCCATTCACCAGTGAGTCCCAGGGATTGGGGGGGGGGGGCTTCACCACTGCAATGTTTCTGTATTTTTCTTATTTCCCGATAGATGAAGAGATCCTCTCACCTTGCAACAGGACGTGTGACACTACTTGTAAGTGTAAGGAGGGGTTCCAACGTTCCAGCTCCTCATCAACTTGTGAGGCCACAGGTGAATGGGGTGCAATCTTACAAACCCAGCAATTGAACAATGTTTTCTCATAGATTTTTTCTCGTATAATCAAAGTGTACCATACATCGCTATAGTTTATACTAGCAGGAAGCACCCGGCTTTGCCCGGGTGTAATATATATTTCCAAACTTGTCTTCTCTTAATAACATAACATATATACACAAATACTAAGCTATTGTGAAAGCCCATCGTTCCGTTTGTCTGTCCATTTGTCCGTCAACAAAATTCTAAGAGGCTTGCAGAAGTCCTGAATCAAAAAGTAATAGAAAGTGGGGGGTACATAGTTGATCTAAAAGGTTTTCAAAAATTGTCAACCCCCCCCCCACTCCAAAAATATTTTTAACCCCCCAGCCAATTTTTATTTTGTAGGCATATATACCTACACACCCTACATACAATAGATTCAGTAGTATCTAGTGACTCTATAGTAGTATCCACTGACTCTACAGTAGTATCCACTGACTCTACAGTAGTATCTACTGACTGTATAGTAGTATCCACTGGCTATAGTAGTGACTACTAACTCAATAGTAGTATCTGCTGACTCTATAGCAGTACCTGTTGACTATAGCAGTATCGACTGACTCTATAGTCATATCTACTGATTCTGCAGCAGTATATACTGACTGTCATGGTATCTACTGACTGCAATCATAGCTCCTGACTTTACAGTAGTATCTACTGACTCTACATTAGTATCTACTGACTCTATAGTAGTAACTGTGGATTGTAGAAGCCCCCCCCCCCATGATTTCATGAGAGAGCTGCATCTGCCGAAAACCCACTCTCAGTCTGATTAGGCTCTGCCATGTGAGCCTTTGGAATTGGAGCCAGATGCGAGACCCTCACTGGGGGGGGGTGATTTCTCGCCAGCTCCATTAAGCAGCTTTGTCGTTTGTTTTATCCCTAATAAAACACAACGTGCTGTGGTCTCCACTGCACCCCAGAAATTATTCGTGTTTCATATTATATGTTATTGCACATTTTAATTTGATGCGAACTTTAGTGTTTTTATTTCGTGCAATTAACAAAAAAAGCCGTTAAAGGTTATAGTTGGACGAGGCTCTGTGACCGCTTGTGCAGTTGGAAAATGAACCGTGAGATAGCGCCGAGTTGTTTTTATTCATTAGGACTCTCAAAAGCAGCCATGGTGGTCATCGTCATCATCTCTGTCATCGTTGCTGGAATCCTGCTGGTCGGAGCCTACATTGCATGGAAACGGAGAAACAACTCTCAGTCACCGGGCCGTTATACGTACAAAGCTGCTGGAAGATCCGCACACACAGATGGACCGATGCCCAATGCAGGTCAGTTCCGTTATTGCACCGACTTTTCACGACTCCTGTTTATCGAGGGTGCCGGGTGGTGGTGGGTGGCGCACGCCTGTAATCGAGCACCTGGGGAGGGGCGTGTTGGTGGAGCGCACAAAATGTTGCGAAGCTTTCTTCCTGTGAGCGTCCAGGTGTCATGACGCTGGCTGGCTTGCCAGGAGAAGGCGGCACGGCAAAACATGTATGGGATAGTTGTTTTTCCCCCTCGAACGCGTAGGGTTTTCTCTGGGCGCCAGTCGATTGTTCCACAACCGGGGGTTGGGGGGGGGACCAACATGGAGTTCCACAATTAGGGGGCCACCGCAGTAAACTCCCAGGCCATCGCAAGAAGGCAGCCGAGATTGAGGGTTTGCATAAAAGAGGCATCATCGGCAGACCTTAAAAAGACTATGCCGGGGTGAAAGGTTACATCAGCTCCTGAATATGAAGTGAAGCAAACCCCTCGCAAGGCCTTAAATATGAGCAACGCGGCTTTAAATTCGACTGGTTTAGAGACAGGGCGAGCCAAAGCAACGGTGCCAAAGCAGGAGAGAGACGCGTTGCCGCAGCGACGAGGTACAAGCAAGCGCCCTGTGGCTGCCCGCGCTCTGCACAGTCTGCAGCCTGATAAGGATCTTTCCTCGAGACCCCAGACAACAAAGTTGAAGTGCATTCGATTTGTTGCACGGACGATCTCCCGTTTAGCCAGTTTCTCGGCTTTTTTTTACAAGGGAGAAACGTGGTGCTTAAGTGCAGCAGCAGCAGCAACAACACGAAAAAAAGACATCGACATTGTAGAGAACGAGTATAGAGTCCTTTAGGAATATTACACAACTAACGAACGAGGTACTTGACACTCGTCAACAATGCATTGCAAATCAATGTGCGAGAATAGAAATGCGTGCATATTGTACAGTAGGCTTTCGATTATCCGCGCTAATGACGGGGAGGATGGCCGTGGGTAATTCAAAATCCCGGATAATCCAAACCTATAATAATTTTCCGCGAATCTTTGTCAAAAACCACTAATATAGGTATAAATTGTTCATAATACAGGTTTTTTTTGGGTTACATCGTGTAAATATATAAATGTGTTGTTATAAATTCCGTTTAGGTTAAGAAAATTTAGTTGCTCAGTGATAACACTTTACTGCTCCCGTTCAGAAGAATCGGCCCACGAAATGGATAGCAGAGCCACGCCAATCAAAATCAAACTCCGCCTACTGTTGTCATGCAACTACTGTACTGTAGGGGCAATTACGTGTATTTCGGATTAACCAGAGCACACATTTGTTCGGTTTAAGTATATGACTTGTAATAAATATTTCCAAGAATAACAATGTATAAGTAATTTAGATGATTACTTTGGAAGAAAGAATCCATGAGTTATTAATTTATGTCAAAATCTCAGGTGCACGGTTAATCCGCAAATCGGATAAACCGCACGCGGATAATCGGGAGTCCACTGTAATTGTAAATGTAATTTACTTGCCATAACAATAAGAATTACAATTTAAAACTCCTTTTCGATCTCTCCTCAGATAATGCGCTGCAGAGATACTATGAGTACTTAAAACGACGAAGCTCGTACATAATCGACTATGATTCCAAACCTGGACAAAGCACGCTCATCAAAGAGAGATTTGTGCAACCTCTCCTGCTAGACTATCACTGCCAAGACAGCGCCAAGGATCACGCGGTCATTACGGCGGTGAAGAATCAGGAGAGTATACTGGAGAATTTGAAGAATACTGGGTTCTATTGTAGGCAACTGTTTGATCCATGTAGAAGCAGTTCAGAGCTTCCCCACCTGATTGTGTTGGTTGGCGTGCCGGGCATTGGGAAAACCACCCTGACTAAAATGATGATTATGCAACTCTTGTCAGGTGAAACATTTTTTCACGTCAATTTTAAGATCATCGTGTACATCCAGTTGCGAGAGCTGAATAGTTATCCCCGCATCATTTCACTTCGTGAAATTTTACAGAGGCAGCACTCGGACCTGGGCAGTATGGCCGACAGCATGTTTCACGACCCTCGCGATGTCCTCCTGGTTCTGGACGGGCTGGATGAGTTCAGGAACCCCCTCGACATTGCAAATGCCTGCAGCGGCCTCGACGACAAGGGAAGCAAAGAAGCTATCGTTGGCGGCCTAGTGATAGGAAAACTGCTGCCCGAGGCCTCTGTGTTGCTGACAACTCGTCCCATTGCAATTGACCAGTTGTACGGTGTGAAGGTCGATCGCTTTGTGGAAATTTCGGGCTTTACAAGGGCAGAGATCAAAGGGTACCTTTGCAAACTGTATTTGGAAGACGGTCTTGGGTCAGAGATTGCGTCATCGCTGGAAAAGTATGAAAATGTATTTAATCTGTGCTACATCCCAGCATTCTGCTACATAGCCGGCACAGCGTTGAAGCCTTTTATAAGCCGAGACAAACAATTTGACTCAGAGTCTGCTACACTGACAATGACTGATCTCTTCTCCAAGTTTTTGTATGTGCTCATCACTCATCACAGGGGAAAGATTACTAATCCGAGGAAGACCGTTGTGGAACTTGCAAAACTCGCCTTGTGGGGAATTGAAAAGCACATTCAGTTGTTCAGCTATCGCGACTTGCAAGACGCTAACGTCAATGTCGGTAGCCTGAAAGGCACATTCACCAGAGAGCTGTTCAAAAATGAGGAGTTGAATTCAGTCAAAATGTACTCCTTTTCCCACCTGACGATTCAGGAGTACTTTGCATCACTGGCCATGTACCTTCATCGAAATCCTTCTTCAAAGTTAATTAAGCAACAAAGCATTCCTCAGCACACAGCATCTGAGGTAATCAAGAAGATTGAGATTTCCCGTGACGGCCGATATGAAATGGTCGAAAGGTTTATTTGTGGCCTTGCATCGCCAAAGCCTTGGATAATCCTGAAAGATTGCATTGGACCTCCGTCTAAGGAATCCCAGAAGCACACCCTCAATTGGATTGCGGAACGAGTGAAGGAATTTGAAGGGGAAAACAACAAGGTGGTTAACCTGCTCCATTGCCTGTTTGAGTTGCAGGATCCGCAAACCGCACACAACATAGCGGAAGCGACGGCGAAGATTAACCTGTCGAACACGCGTTTGTCCTCCATGGACTGCGCCACGATCTCCTACGCCGTGAGGAGCCGGAGCAACCCTCTGGAGACCCTCGCGTTGAACAACTGTGGCCTCCGGCAACGGGAGGTGAAGGAACTTGTTCCCGCAATGGAAATGTGCAAGGAATTGAGGTAAGGTGGCCCTCCCTGCGTTGTTTGCGACTTCGTCGGCACTCAAACCACACAAGTGGTCAAATAGGGGTTGCCACCTCAGAATATTTTTTTCAGAATCTGAATATTTACTTCTACTGCAGGAGGAATCCGATGAGCTATAAAGCTCTTTTTCACAGATGTCCAGTAGGGGCACGGGGTAAGAACGTTACAACAAACAGTACAAAAGCACGATAGGAGCGCAAAGTACAGGAAAGGTAAACAAATCTCCCAACACAATACAAATACAACACTAAACCATCCACATCCTACCAAGCAAAGCCCACTGGTGTATGAACTTATTGTTCAGAAGCGACCTGGCCGCAAATAACAGCTCAACAAAGTGGCCTATCATTTGGACATTTATAGCAGCAAAATTATCTAAATAGTCTAAATGCATGTTTCTAAATGTGGAAGGAAAAACAGGACACGGAGAAAAAATGCACGTGACCACAGGGAGAGAGACGTGCAAACTCCAAACATCGAGGTCTCAGGTTCGGGATCGAGCCCCCAACTTCCTACATACCAGGCGAGGAAGATAACGCCTCACCATATGGCGCCTCTTAGATAAATGGAGTATATAAGTTCACATTGCATCATCATTTCCCAAGCTTTGGAAAGGCAGTAAAATAACAGCAAAAGCAGTCCCAAACCATACAAAGATAACACAGTCACTCAATAAAAATTGTACGTGAAAATGTAATTCTCAATACATTTTTAAGGATACATTTTATAAATCACATTGGCAAATGTGGACGTATCCAGCACTAATCTTCTGCTTTGACATGGACATGTGATGACGGAACCCTGTTTGTTAATTTTTTGGTCACTTTCTGACCCACCTCGAGTAACTTTCTACCCCCTACTGGACACCTATGAAAAAGAGCTTCATAGCTCATCGGATTTCTCCAGCATAAGTAAACATTTTGATTCTGAAATTCAACCATAGGCTTTCGCGACGCAATATTACGATTGTTAATTGATGTTGGGTACTAGTTTGTTATATATTGGATGCTTCGAATGGTCACCAACGTGCCGGTGCTGCTAATGCAGCAACACATTGGTGCGTTGGTTCATCATGCGACAACTTCATTCGTGGAGGGTGTATGACGCGCATTTTTATTCACACTATCTGACCCAAAAATCATTTGTGTGTCAACCCTATTTAGGTTTGACCCGGAAAGTCCTGGGAGCTAAATAACACCGATACAGCACGACCCAAACTCAGGCCAGAGAGTAACAGTGAGGGGTTTGTAACCCGGGACCCGGAGTTGTGGAAGGGAACGGATTGGCCAAATGTGGAGTGGGAGCGCGTAAATATATCTAAGCATTCGTGTAGATATGACAACATGTGCAGTGGACACCTACGGGCTATCTGCCCATGGATCGTGATGATGATGATGATAAGATACATCCACCCATGTAGCTCACACTCATTTTTGTCCACTATATTATTCTTTACAGCCTGGACAGGAATGAGTTTGCGGACCTCGGCATGAGGCATCTGGCGGAGGGTCTGGCCAAGGGAGGACGGCATTTGAAGGAGTTGCGGTGAGCGTCTCCATTCACGTTGCCGTGAGGCAACGGTACACTGATGCATAGAAGGAGCTTGGCATCACACTCGTTATACCAAAGGTTAAGAGTAATAGACGTTTCGCTGGACAACGTGAATACAAACCTCGATTAATCGAACAAACCTCAAAGTCAATGATAATATCGCGTAAGACTGGCAATTGTTTTTTCTGAAGGCATTTTTCACCTAACGCTACCCTTTTCAGGAACGTATCAACCTCGTTTAACGAGGAATTACAATATTTAAATAATGCAAATATCTAAATATTTTCTCTCTCTTTAGGCTTTACAGGTGCGGATTGACAGAGGAGTCTGGCGCTGACCTCCGTGACATAATCAACTCATGCCATGGTTTGAGAAAGCTCTTGTAAGTGGTGTGATGGATTATTAAATACATTATGTGTGCAGACCACTCCCTACAAATCATGGCACCATATAGAATTTCATTTGACAAATACATCCATTTGACACAGGCTGATTAAATGTTTCCTCCTGTGGTGTTTATGTGCCAATTAAACTGACTGTACAATGCAGTGGTCCAATCAAGTGTCAAGTTGATGTTGTGTAACCAGGATTTGTCTCATTTGCACGAGTGACCTGGGTCATAAAAATGGCAAAAGCAAAACGGATAAAAGAAATCTAGACTTAAAGCTTTCGTGACTGCAGGAATTCATATTCTTTGGGTCTTTCGGTAAAATCACGTCGATAGGTTCAAAGAAAATAACAAAAAATCTACGATGTTTCGATCGCAACACAAGCGGTCGTCATCAGGAAAAGCGGGGTTCGCCTCTAAAGGCAAACTGTTTATAAAGGTTTAAAATGGGCGTGGCCCAAGTGTCATGTCAGTGACGGTCCACGGCGGCGCTCGTGGTGGGTTTCCACCAATCAGAGGGCTGCCAGGTAAAACATTTGCATGTTAAATCGGAGGGCGACCATGACGACGATTATTATGTTAATGTGAGAGATTGTTATGCTAATGTGAGAGATTATTATGTTAATGTTAGAGATTGTTATGTTAATGTGAGAGGTTATCATGTTAATGTTAGAGATTGTTATGCTAATTTGAGAGATTGTTATGTTAATGTTAGAGATTGTTATGTTAATGTGAGATGTCATGTTAATTTGAGAGATTGTTATGTTAATGTGAGAGGTTATCATGTTAATGTGAGAGATTATCATGTTAATGTGAGAGATTATCACGTTAATGTGAGAGATTATTATGTTAATGTGAGAGATTATCATGTTAACGTGAGAGATTATCATGTTAACGTGAGAGATTATCATGTTAACGTGAGAGATTATCATGTTAACGTGAGAGATTATCATGTTAATGTGAGAGAGTATCATGTTAATGTGATATATTATCATGTTAATGTGAGATATGATCATGTTAACGTGATAGATTATCACGTTAACGTGAGAGATTATCATGTTAACGTGAGAGATTATCATGTTAATGTGAGAGAGTATCATGTTAATGTGATATATTATCATGTTAATGTGAGAGATGATCATGTTAACGTGATAGATTATCACGTTAACGTGAGAGATTATCATGTTAACGTGAGAGATTATCATGTTAATGTGAGAGATTATCATGTTAACGTGAGAGATTATCATGTTAATGTGAGATTATCACGTTAATGTGATATATTATCATTTTAATGTGATAGATTATCACGTTAACATGAGAGATTATCATGTTAACGTGAAAGATTATGTTAGCGTGAGAGATTATTATGTTAACGTGAGAGATTATCATGTTAATGTGAGAGATTATCATGTTAACGTGAGAGATTATCATGTTAACGTGAGAGATTATCATGTTAACGTGATAGATTATCATGTTAATGTGAGAGATTATCATGTTAATGTGAGAGATTATCATGTTAATGTGAGAGATTATCATGTTAACGTGAGAGATTATCATGTTAACATGAGAGATTATCATGTTAATGTGAGAGATGATCATGTTAACGTGAGAGATGATCATGTTACCGCCACTATGTCGGCGCGCGAAGTTGGTGGAGACACACACAGACACACAAGCTGTCTGTGTGTGTCTCCGTGGCTGTGTTTTTGTCTCTCTCTCAAATTGAGCAATCTTTGGAAGAACGTTATTAACCAGGTGGCGTGTTGACTGTTGTGTTATCCGACTCTCTGTGTTGCATTGCATTGTATTTCTAAGTTTACTAGGTTTGTTTTTTCTCATTCATTCTTACCTGATGACGAGTGCTTGTGTTGCAATCGAAACGTCGTATTCTATTATTTAATTTATTTCCTTTCTACGTGACTTTACCGAAAAAAACAAAGAGTAATTTTTGCAGTCACGAAAGCTTCAAATCAAGTTTAGACCAATAAACCAAATAGAAATCGGAGCAAAGACAACCAATCAGAAATCACAACAAAAACAACTAATTAGGAATCTAAACAAAAGCAACCAATCAGAAATCAGATCAAAAAACAAATAATTAGAAATCAGAGCAAAAACCATCGATTAGAAATCATAGCAAAAACAACAATCAGAAATCATAGTATAAACAGCCAATTAGAAATCAAAGCAAAACAATCAGAAATCAGAGGAAAAATAACCAATCATAAATCAGAGTAAAACAATTTAATCAAATGAGAAATCGGCAGTATTGCACAAACATTAAATCAACGTTAGATTATTCCCTGTTGCATGAGACAGCTCGCGTGGATTATTTTTAGGCCGATCATGGTACAATTATAAATTCAGTTGCAGAAACACTGAATAGATGTCTACACAGACATGAGTTTATGAAGTAAAATGCAAATGCAGTTATATTATGGCCACCTATGCAAATGAGAAGTTTTTCAATCTTGATCTTAATGCAACTGCATGTCAGGTAACGTATGTGAATATAATCCTGGCGGTGCTGCGATTAAAGTGGGGTTGCCATGAGTCTGTAACACAAGTCTGTCCTGTGACCTTCGGGGAAAGCCTTTGACGATTCACATGGCCTCAAAGTACACTTACCCTAGCACAACAAGAACTATTTAAATGTAAATAGCATCTAAATGCAATTGGTTGATTTTTCTGCGATTTCTATGTGCAGTATTCACCAGCGCGTCCTTAACTAACGGTTCACGGGGGAGCTTGAAGCGGGCCCAGGGCCCCATTCACCAACAAGTCCCCGGGGCATCCATGTGGTTGGACTAGGGCCCATTCACCCACATCAGTGGGAATACTTTTTTTGTTTAATCCAACTAGAAACTCCATTGTGGATTGAACCATCTCATTTCTAAGGGTGTCTAGGGTGTCAAGTGACACGTACTTAGTGAACACACGTAATGACACGTATACATTTTTTTTTAAGTGGGTGTCTGAACCTATTCTGGTCTTGCCCTGGTCAACTCACTCGTAACCGCATACCTGGTCACAGCACCTCTGCATGTGCTGGGTCGCCCTTAATTGGTGCTCACGAAAAACAGTTGCCCAGTGTGCATTGTCATTGTGCCCATGTGCGTCACTGCAGTTGTGTCTTGCGTACGTGTGTGTTTACGTTACATTATGAACACATATTGCCTGTGCCTGTTTACGTGTGTAATATACGCACGTGTGCCGTGGTTTATGCCGACAAATGTTTTTTGAACGTAAAAAATATAAAGCATCCGCGTGCACGCACACTGCGTGAACATTGCAACATACCTGTAAGGGCTGCATACCGCCAGATAAACGCCAGCATAATCCACACCGCCGCCTTATAATCGGGGCTCGATTTCAGCCGCAGTCTAACTCAGAGACCTGAAAAATATTAACAAAAAGACTAAACAAAGTCGTCAACAACACTGTGATCTTAAAAAAAATACATATACGGTAGATACTCGATTATCCGCGTGCGGTTTATCCGATTTGCGGATTAACCGCGCACCTGGGATTTTAACATAAATTAACAATCCATGGATTTTCCCTTAAGCCCAAATTAATAATTTAAAAACAGTTATACATTGTTATTCTTGGAAATGTTTATTACAAGTCACGTGCTTAAACCAAACAAATATGTGCTCCGGTTAATCCGAAATTCACGTGATTGCCTCCACAGTACAGTAGTTGCATGACAACAATGGGCGGAGTTTGATGTTGATTGGCGTGGCTCTGCTATCCACTTTGTGGGCGGAATCTTCTGCGCAGGAGCAGGAAAGTGTTATCATTGAGCACGCTCGTCGATCGGTCAATTGGTAGTATTCGTTCTAAATCGAAAGAATAACAAATCGAAATCGTCAGTTGTGCTTCCTTTTGAGTGATTTATCCCATCATTTATTTTGTGAGTTTTAATTTACGAAACTATGAGAGGTTTTTGGCATAGAGATTCGCGGAAAATGGATATTTTTATCCGCGATTTTGAATTATCCGCAGCCGCCCCCCCCCCCCCCCGTCATTAACGCGGATAATCTAGTCAACTGTGTTTATAAATTCCGTGCAGCTGACGAGTGGCGTGTTGGGAGTTTTTTGTTACTTGTGCTTGCGCACCAACCGCCAATGCGACAGCTGCAGCAGCAACATCACCAAATACTTTGTTTATGATATTTACACATCTGGCACACCAAGACCAGTGTATACCCCCTTTTTTATGTCTCTCTGTTCCTCCTTGTGCTCAATCCATGCTTCCGATCTCTCTCTCTTCTCGCCCCACTTCACTGGAACAAACTTCCCCTCCACATTGACCAGTCACCTTCGCTCACTGCTCCTCACTCAAAACTCACTTATTGTTACCCCCAGCTCACCCCACGACCGCTTAATTTTCCCTTCATAACCACCACCATTACTGTTCCCTCTTCATATTCTCATTGCACGGCTATCACTCATTAACCCCATTAATTAAATCCGTTCATCATCATTTACTGTCATCAATTTCGCTTTCACCGAATTCAAGCATCACAGATTTACCCCCATTGCTTCCTCTCGTCTATTTCACTCACCTCATCATCATCATCACATTCATATGTAGTACCGTTGTTAACTCTTTGTAAAAGTGCCTTGGTTAAGGCGCCTATATAATTCCGTTGAGATAAGGTATGGCTGTGGCGACAAGTCACGCGCCTACTCCAGTCTACCAGTGACCCGGACGATATTCGGTGAAAAAAATGAATCCCCGTTTACAATGCATAGGTCGGACACACACAGACGGTAGTGATTGCCCTTGGCGAATATCGCATTGGCCGAACACATAACATCTAAAACATGTCAAAATCATGGCTGTTTCTCCCCACCCTCGTCTCTTTCGTGTTCCGCAGGCTCAGTCATAATGTTCTCAAGGACGCGGGCATCAAAATTCTTGCGGAGGGTACCTCCGGAGGAGGCGTACATTTGGAGGAACTGGAGTAAGTGGCGGACACCTCTTGTAGATGGGAACGCGGCCGCCGTGTGGATGTTTAGCGGTGCGCTACCAGCGAATGGTCTCTTCCGGTGGTGGCTGGGTAGATTGCGGACAAGAATTGTGAAGTTCGCCTCCCCCCCCCCTCCGCACTACATTACAAAAAAGAGATCTACTACCCTCTAATAAAATAAATCTACTGGCTACTGAGCTATTGAGATGGGAGTAACTGAGACGACTGTTCTTGTGCTCCCGTGCATTCAAAGATTCCGTCATTAAGCACGATCAGCACTTGCGCGGCATTGCTGGAGGTATAGCCACATCTGAGCATGTTGTGCGTTTCCCTTGTCTAAACACGTTGGGGGGGGGGGGGGGGGGTGGCTGCTAGTCATGTTCAAACATTTTGGGAGACTCGCACCCATCGTAAAACAATAACCCTAAACGTGGAGCAAGCGGAGTTTTCCCGCGCAGGCAGAAGTGCGCGCAGTTAAGAACTGGCCCTAGATTTAACTGCGGCCTATCCAGAATGTTGTCTCCTACTTTATACAAGTTGTCAAGGATGTTGTTGCCTAGATGGGCAGTCATGACAACGGAGAGATGCTGCTGAGAAAAAGTGGGGGACAAAATAAAAGCAGGTGGAGGGCCCAGCTCCGCCGAATTGGCACCGACGTTTAATATATCTGCAAATTACTCACCGAACAAAACCTCCACGGGCGGGTTCATCTACGCCGATGACATCCGCCTTTCCTACAAAGACAGCGGTTTTGGGACCATTAAGCAATATTGGAACGTGGATACGATCTGCCTTTGAGTGAACACAGTCTCAACCTACCTCCACCTGCACGCAATGCCCTCAGTAAAGTACATCTGGGACAACAACTGGCACGCGACGCAAGACCAGGCTACCTGGGCGTCACCTTTGCTCAGACACTCGCCAGCAATCAGAGAGACACAAAGAGAGAGAGAGAGACACACACATAGAGACACATATAGAGAGAGACACACACACACACACAGACATACAAACAGGGAGACACACACACAAAGAGAGACACATACACAGAAACATCACAGCCAGTAAGAGTCTGTTAAAAAACGAGAGATCCTGCCACATCGAGGGAAAGGGGCAACGGTAGCTGTGTTAGTGAGACACTTAGCCCGTTAATGTAAAGACATTTAACCTGGTGATGTACTCAGAGAGTCGGAAATAACTGCTGACATCGGCAGGTAGGATGGAAACATCACAGTCAGTTAAGACTTTACCTGGTCAATAACGTCCTTCCAATGATTGCTCGGTTTGTACCCATCTTCTCGGTTGAAGTTGTGTCTGTGTTTATATATCTGGATGGCTTCAAGAACAAATGTCTGATGATAGCCAGTCGGTTTGCAGAGTACCTTCGTCTTGGAAAAATCTATTTTGTTATGCGCCCACAGTGTTAAAACAATGATTAGCAACGGCAGAGGTATTGGTTCTACCATATTTCAGATCTGCCTTGTGTTTGCGAACACGGTCCGAGACATGTCGTTTCGTATCCCCAATGTAACTGCTGCCACAAACACAATTCAGGTTGTAGACACCAGGGTATTGCATGTCTGGAATCACATCTTTACAGATGGGATAAAATTTTGATTTAAAGCTTTCGTGACTGCAGTAATTCAACGGACCTGGATCTTGTGTTTATTCAAGATTTTGGAGATCTTTTTTGTTTCAACACATTACATAAAATCCGTGATCTGGTTCCGTCTGTAAAAGATGTGATTCCGGACATACAGTACCCTGGTGTCTACAAACTAAGTTGCCTCTGTGGTAGTAGTTACATTGGAGAAACCAAACGCCATGTCTCGGACCGCATTCGTGAACACAAAGCAGACCTTAAAGACGGTGCGAAATTCAACCCTTTAGCTCAGGGGTCGGGAACCTTTTTGACTAAGAGAGCCATGAAAGCAAAAAATTTGGAAATTTATTTCAGTGAGAGCCATATAATATATTTTAAAAGTGAATTCAACTAAATGTCAGTATAATAACCCTCTGAATTTATTCTTTTAAATAATGTTGTTATAACACTCACCATTAATGCGACTTCTGGTGCTGCATGGATTTGCTGATGTCTTTGTAGTCGGGTTGGTACTTTGTAGTCGGGTTGGTACTTGGTGAGGTTAAGCTTCATGCAAGCGTTGAGGCTTTCATCCGTTAAACGTGATCGTAGGTTGGACTTGATGTTTTTAAGATGTGAGAATGACTGCTCACATGCATACGTAGATCCAAACATGGTCAATACAGCAATACTCACACGCTGCAGTGTGTGGTATGTGACAGGAAGCGCGTTCCAAGTTTTGAGAATCAGCTGGTCTTCGGGTTGGAGTTTTTTCATTTCTGTCCACATGTGCTTGCTCGCCAACTCCGCTTTCTGTCGTGTGATTCTTTCCAAATCTTCATTCAGTGACTTGAACTTATTCACCCACATGTCTGAGGCCTTCAGGTCAGCCACTTCTGCTTCAAAATCTCTGACGGAGACACCAGGGATGTAATTCAGGTCGGCTGTGTTCAGTGAACACTCGTTTGGATGGGTGATGAACTTAAAAAGACGAGTGTGCTCACGAAATTCTCCAAAGTGTGCTTTGAAGGACTGTAGGAGACTGGATGTGCAGCCAGCTAGCTGGTGGAGATCAAGGTTTTGAATGGGCTCACTTGCTGTGCATGCATCTTTAAATTGGCTCAGTTTTTCAAAATGTAGTAAACGACCTGTTTCAAGATCCGTGATGAAAAGCTCCAGCTTGTTTTCAAAAGCAAATACAGCTTGTTGAAGGGATAACACTGTATTTCCAATGCCTTGCATTTTCACGTTGAGCTGGTTCAGATGTTCAGTCAGATCTACGAGATAGTAAAACTTGAGGAGCCACTCGGTGTCGGCTAGCTCAGGATGCCCGACGCCTTTCATTTCAAGGAAAGTCCGGATTTCGTTCAGGCAAGCCGCAAAACGGCTAAGCACCTTCCCTCTTGACAACCAACGCACATTGCTGTGCAAAAGCAGACCAGGATAGTTATTTACAACTTCATCCAGCAGTGTTTTAAACTGGCGATCATTTAAGGCTCGGGCAACAATAAAGTTGATCACACGAATGACCAGCGACATCACTTCGCCAAACTGCCTGTCACACATCTGAGCACAAAGTGCCTCCTGGTGTATAATGCAATGGAAACTTAGGATGGGTCTATTTTCATGTTCACGGAGAAGCGCCACAAATCCTTTGTTTTTCCCCACCATACACGGAGCACCATCAGTACACACTGAGAGAAGTTTATCCATAGGTAGACTTTTTTCTTGAGCAAACTCCATGAAAGACTTGAATAAATCCTCACCTCTTGTGGACCCTTTTAATGGCAGAACAGCAAGACTTTCTTCGCGCAGTGTGTCACCAACAGCATATCTTGCAATCACGCTGAACTGCGACAAATGGCTCACGTCTGTTGACTCATCCAAAGCCAGAGAAAAGAACGGCGCTGCATTTATGTCCTTCACTTGCGTTTCTTCCACTTTGTTTGCCATCACGATGGTACGATCATGAACAGTTCTTGCCGACAGAGGTATGTCTTGTATCCGTTTGATTATCTTGTCTTTGTTCGGAAGATCATCAAAAAGTTCATTGGCTACATCCAGCATGAACGTTTTAGCATACTCGCCATCTGTGAATGGTTTTCCGTTCCTCACTATTGCTAAAGAACCAGCAAAGCTAGCCGAATTATAGTCACCTTGCCGGGTCCATACGCAGAGTTGCTGCTGGCTAGCTTGCATCCTGCTCAGAAGCTCTTGGCACGCTTTCTTTCTGCTGTCTCCCGCAGGGTATTTTGATGCAAAGGTAGCGTGGCGCGTGTCGAAGTGCCGCTTTACATTCGACCGTTTCAACGATGTAATTTTGTCATTGCAAATTAGACACACCGCAGAACCCGCTCTCTCCACAAAGGCGAATTCTTCGGTCCATTTGTCCTGGAATGTACGATACTCGTGTTTTTTTTTTCTTTTCGCCATCTTCTTCGTCGAAGGGTTAGCTTTGAGCTAATGACCGAGCAGACGCAGTCTCAGACTGATTCAAAAGGGGGCGTTTACCTGTTTTACCCAGCAACGGCAAACGTAGGCCAGTATCATCCAATTAAAATAATGGACAATTGCTCCTGCAGCCCTGAACAGGACATGCGCAGTGAAAAATCGATGGATGGATTAAAACAAGTGAGAATATTTTGTTTTATCTGCGAGCCATATGCAATCATCAAAAGAGCCACATCTGGCTCGCGAGCCATAGGTTCCCGACCCCTGCTTTAGCTAATACCGATTTTAGGCCGTCGGAAATTGGGCTGTTACTCTGATTGATAACAATCTTGTTAACATCTAACTTTTTAAAATGTGGATCTGGCTTCTTCTTAGGTTAACTTTACATTTGGTTGACATTGAAGTGGCAGAAGAAACTATCATGTTATCTACATTGTCCCAATCAGATGTGGACATTTTTTCTGTCAATGCTAACTGAGATTGTAAGAGAGTCTTGTCAAATTATCAAGTTCAAATCGGAGCAGTATTATTCTCTCTGAGATTAGGGCTAGGCTAGCCCTGAACAAGATCCGTTTAGCATTAGGAGAAGTGACAGCAGCAGATGTGAGTGTAAAGGTGATCGGTATTACCTTGGTGTTGCGGCATCTCTTCAGAAAGGTGAGCGACTCGATCAGGCGAGCCTTCTTGTCTTGCAGTCTGTTAAAAGATCTAACAGGTGTGTGGAAACCCTCCCCATAGAGGCGGTTCAATCTTGGTTTGATGACGATTGCTTGTGTTGCGATCGAAACGTCGTGATCTATAATTTTTTTCTATTACGTGACCTTACCGAAAGAACCAAAAAGCATATTTTCATCTATGTATATAAAAGGGAAATTTGTGAATGTGTGTCTGTTAGAAATGTTTAGCATACTTCCCGACATGCAACAAACTTGAAATTTGGCATGTGAGTAGCTTACAGATT